GTAATAGAAGCTGGTAGTCTTAATGTTGGCTGCCTTATGGTCTAAATGATTGGATACAAATAATTGCTGGATGTCAGTCACAGAGAGGCAGGAGTCCATTAGAAGAAAGTTAGGTACTCTTATATAGTCCATGTATATATAAATAAGTCTTTTGGGGGGCTATAATGAACAATTACTGAATTTAACTAAAAATAACTAAATATTAACAATTCAATAACTATTATTGAATATAGGTAAAAATATTCAGTTATTTTTAGTTATGTTCAATAACTTTAAAAAGCATGGAAACAGTTAACAATTACTGAATATAACTAGAAGCATACCTTTTCTCCTAAGGTGTATGTATGTAATATAAATTCTTAAACCATACCACTTTACCTTTTTCCAAAAACATATGGCTATCACTTCCATCACTTTCTAACAACTGTTCTTCCAATATCATGCTGTCAAGTGAAATGGTATCCAAAGACATTTGTGAAGAGCTTCTTTTCATATTCTTATAAGAAACACAGAGAGGAGCCACGTTGGGTGGGTAACGTTCCTTAGGCTTTCCACTGTTAACAAAATTATTAGAAAGTTATTATATATAAAGAAAAAAATTCTATCTTAAAAGATGCTTCTAACAAAATTAAAACTGTATATGGCATCCATAGCTTAAATTATATTTAAACATATAACTGCAAAGTGTTTTCATATTTTGAAACATCTACTCTTCCACATGTTAACAATGCCATATTCTGTCATGAGGTTTTCTGCCTCAAAACAAAATACACATGCAACAATCCTGCATGATCTGCACATGTACACCAGAACCCAAAGTACAATAAAAAAAAAGAAAAAAGAAAAACATCTCCTGGAAGCTTTTCAGGAAGAGAAGCAAAGGGATAATGTCCTGGCTTAAGTTCCAGGCTGAAGAATCGCTTGAACCTGGGAGGCGGAAGTTGCAACAAGCCAAGATTGAGCCACTGCACGCTAGCCTGGAAAACAGAGGGAGAAAAAAAAAAAAAAAAAAAGAAAAGAAAACAGGTGCTAAACAGTATAATCTTGTTTTGGTCAAAAATATATAAAACCACATATTATGTATAATACATGCCTAACAAAGTTAAGAAACATATTTACTATAGAGTTAACTTAGGGGATCTCTGATGGTGACAATGTGAAGGCTTAATTTTTAAGTTTTTCCTTACTTGTATTTTCCAATTTTCTATGATGCACATATACCATTTTACTGTAATAAATGGTATTTTAATTGATTTTAAAAAACAAAAACAAAATACACTCACATGTACACACACTCAGCAACATAAAATAATTTTTAAAAAGGCCAATAAAATGTTGTTACCTTAAAGATGACTGTGATTTAAGTGTTCTAACTGCAGGGGTCTCTTCTTTACTGATTTCTAGGTTTTCAGAGAGTGAAGCTGCTTCTGGAAGCAAATCTTCAGCTTTAAAGATCGACTGTATGGTTTCATTTCCTTTACTAGTTAAACTATTTGAAAGTATGTTTTGATTACCATCACTATCAAATGACAGCATATTCGAATCTTCTCTGTAGTTTAAAATACTACTTGAATCTGTATAAAATGAATCCTTTTTGTCACTTATTTCTGATCCCATTTCTCCTGAGCCACTTTTGTAAACAAGTCCACTACTTTCATCTTCACTTATTTTCCCTAAATGTTTATCTGATAAATAGTCCATAAAAGAAATGCCTTTTTGCAGATTTGTATCACTAGCTGATTTAAAAAGCAAAGGATCCTTTAAAGGGACATGGCTAAGGTCAACACTCATAGATCTAATTCTATTTACATCCCTACTAATTTGTTTTGGTTTTGAAGACAAAAAATCCCCATTTTCTGTAGACAAATAATCAGGAACCACTGGGCTCA